TATATTATAAAGACAGTAATTTATTTACTCATATTAATGTTGATGTTCACAGTTCCACAATTAGCTCCTTGTAGTAGTCCGCTCAAATCTATACCCTTTCATCGCTAACCGTCACTGCATCTGCTCTCTTCTTCATTGGGCTCTGGGTGCTCTGTAGTTCTCTGTAGAGCGTTTGCTGAAGCGGCTTAAACTCAGCCGAATTAAACAGGTTTAACTTTGGATATTGCAACTGAACTGTTCGGTTTAAACCACAAAACAGGCTATACATGACGGTATTCTTTACCGTTTCTCTTCCGTACTTCTAGCGTTAATCGGCTAAACCAGTGATTAATTTCGTCAACGCTCATCTCCTGCAAATCTAGCACACGCTTGAATACTTCACTCTCGGCTTCAAAGTCACGCAACTCGGTATTTCTTGCCTTTGCCCATGCTTTATAAACATTCGGGCTCCACCTAGTGTGTTTGATAGTATTCTCAGGCGTTCTGTTATCTCTAACTTTCTGAACATCGGCATTTCCATAACAAACGAGAAACGTTTATCCGCCATATCATTCTTAGTGAGCGTCCAAAAACAAGACTTGAGTTGAGTTAAAAAGTAACTCATTTTATATGCATGCATGCACATGCACCCGGCACTGGCACACGTATATTAAGAATTGTTTATTCCCAACCAATTTCCGACAATGGAAAATTGTTGTATAGATCACTGATCATGCATTGTATTACACAATACTCGTACTATCAATTAATTTTGAACAATGAAAACACTAGCCTCACCTCGGTCATCATGGTATTACAAACTAATACCATGGTTTTTAAGAATATAGTGATTAAATCTCCCGCGAGCCGAGGAGGTTTGTGAAAGTCCCTCGGGACTTTCACAAACCTCCCTCGGTTTGCGGGAGATTTAATCACTATATTCTTAAAAACCATGGTATTACTTATAAATAATCTGGCTAAGGGTCTAGGACAAAGGCTCCAACAAATGCAAAACATTGCTGCACGAATCATTACTGGTTCTGATTATTACACTCCCTCATCTGAAATTTTAAGATCATTGAACTGGACAAATCTAGAAGACAGGCGTGCACTACAGTTTAAGAAATTAATGTATAAGACGGCCAATAATATGGTTCCTAGTTATTTAACCAATAAATTCATCCGCACTTCTTCAGTACACGAGCATAACTTACGTGGGGCGAATCATAATTTTTTTGTTCCTATAGGCCCCTGTCAGAATCTCGTAAGACAAGTTTTAGTTATAGAGGTGCAATTTTGTGGAACAACATACCCGTCCAAATATCCAGTGCACACTCTCTGAGTGAGTTTATGTCTCTCATCTCGTAAATTTATATATTCCATGTACATATTTTCATAAGTAGTTTAGTTTTTTCTATATTTATATATTATACATTAGTTAAATGCACGTCTCCATGGAAGAGCATATATTTGTAATTGTGAATTGACTTCGTGTGAAAAGAAAGATGTCATATCATATCATATCATATCATACCTAACCAGGAACGACTGCGAAAAATGCAGCACAAGGTCCTCTGGTAGAAATTGAATCTACGGCACTGCGATTCCAGTGCAGCGCTCTAACCAACTGCATGAGCTACAGAGGCCAGCTGTCGAGCTGTAATCGTAAGTTCGTGTATATATAGGTAATCGGGTGTGCGAGTAGTTGTGATAAGGTGGACTGAAGTAACTTAGATTTTTGCACTTCACTTGGTGGAATTAATATTAGGATGTTAGGCTTGGTAATCCAAGTGAGAATATATACATTTTAAGACCTAACCAGGAACGACTGCGAAAAATTCAGCACAAGGTCCTCTGGTAGGAATTGAACCTACGGCCCTACGATGGGTGCAGCGCTCTAACCAACTGAGCTACAGAAGCCAGATGTTGAGCTGTAACCGTAAGTTCGTGTATATATAGGTAATCGGGTGTGCGGGTTATGATAAGGTGAACTTACCTATATATACACGAACTTACGGTTACAGCTCAACAGCTGGCCTCTGTAGCTCAGTTGGTTAGAGCTGCACCGAAATCATAGGGCCGTAGGTTCAATTCCTACCAGAGGACCTTGTGCTGCATTTTTAGCAGTCGTTCCTGGTTAGGTCTTAAAATGTATATATTCTCACTTGGATTACCAAACCTAACGGCATCCTAATACGACTTGAAATTCCAGGTCGAAAACAAATTTTCTACCTCTGTTGCCCAAAATATTCTCAGAATTTTTAAAACATTTGCCCAACTGGAGGTCGCTGTATATGAGAGAAACATTATATAGGCATTGCAAGTTCTCTGCAAACTTCATGGGTTTCGTAAAATGTTTTATCCACAAAACTCCGTTGTCTAATTGGGAGTTAAATCATCTTTAATTTGTTAATCGCCAAAACTAGATTATTTTCATTCTGATTATTCTTTTAACCGCTATTCCTTGTTATTCTTTTAAATTTTGACTATCTTTCAGATTATAATTGCAACACTCAGACACATAGGCATTTGCAATTATCGTGGAACGGCAGAAAAATCGGCCATTTTAAATTGGTCGTGTTAGTTCACGTTCAGTTTTTAATGCAATGATACAAAAAAATCTCATTTGATAATTAAAGGCCTAATCTTTATTTGAATGGGAGAATTAAAGCTATAAATACCCAATACTTAAGGCACAATAACATGACAAATTTTATTATACACCATGTGTTGGTAATACCTCGACTCGAGGAGGATGTCTATTTTTGGGCTCCTCAACTTTAGTTATTAAGAAAGTATATAGACTACATTCAATACAATGATCAAGGCGAAGCTATTCGAGATGCCGATTGTTCTCCTGAACAAAGTGTCATACGCAGAATTAAACCTAAACCTAACACCAAATGCAAAGGCCATAAATAATTGAATACAATTAGTAATAGTCTAAAACAAATGGCAAACGGCACAACAGACGTCACACACTGCGAAACGAATAACAGGATAGAACATAGCGATCAGGACCAAAGCGAAAAGAAATATAAACACAGTCTACCTAGAAAACAACCACACGAATGGTTGAAATGGCTACCTTTGCTTGAACCACTAGAACCAAATGAGACAGACGAATTTTCATACAGAAATAAATCTGAAATTAAGGAAGCGACTAATGCTCAATTCAACGATCCAGACAGATCCAGTCTCTCTCTAGAACAAATACAAATAATTGCCTGCGGCCAAACCTGATAAATTTTCGGCAACATAGTTCGAACCGTCGCCCTCCGGACTGGCTCAAATATTTGGACCTACAATCTTTGCCAGAAACTATGGGACAGCTGCTGTAATTTCATATAATTTGAAAGGAATAGCGCCCCCCGTTCCCCAGTTCAATAGTTGGTCCAACTAAAATCTGATGTCTGGATGCGCGGCGCCAACATTGAAACGGGTGGGGGGAGGGAGGGTGGAAAATATGTATCAGCAAATGGTATATTACAACCGAATG